TAAACGCACCAACATTCGAATTATAGGGGTCCCAGAAGAAGAAGAAAGAAAGGGACTGAAAAATACTTGAAGAGATTAGAGTTGAAAACTTCCCTAACATGGGAAAGGAAAGAGTCAATCAAGTCCAGGAAGTGCAGAGAGTCCCATACAGGATAAATCCAAGGAGAAACATGCCAAGACATATATTAATCAAATGATCAAAAATTAAATAGGAAGAAAAAATATTAAAAGCAGCAAGGGAAAAACAACAAATAACACACAAGGGAATCTCCATAAGATTAACAGCTGATCTTTCAGCAGAAACTCTGCAAGCCAGAAGGGAGCGGCAAGACATATTTAAAGTGATGAAAGGGAAAAACCTACAACCAAGATTACTCTACCCAGCAAGGATCTCATTCAGATTTGACAGAGAAATTAAAACCTTTACAGACAAGCAAAAGCTAAGAGAATTCAGCACCACCAAACCAACTTTACAACAAATGCTAAAGGAATTTCTCTAGGCAGGAAACACAAGAGAAGGAAAAGACCTACAATAACAAACGGAAAACAACTAAGAAAATGGTGATAGGAACATACACATCGATAACTACCTTAAAAGTAAATGGATGAAATGCTCCCACCAAAAGACATAGACTGGCTGAATGATACAAAAACAAAATCCATATATATGCTGTCTACAAGAGACCCACTTCAGACCTAGGAACACATACAGACTGAACACATACCTGCATTTTTCACATCATTCTTAGTCTTTCAGAATTGGGTGGTATTACTACTTTGGCTCTATATTTTTATTTACTCAAAAATTGTACTTGAGTGAATTTAGAATAAGAATTTTAAAATAACATATGAGTTTATATAGTTGTCCCTATTTTTAATATATCACACATCATCAACAAAAATGGAAATATTGTTTCAGTGCAAACATTAAGGTCCTTATTATGATATGGAAATTATAGTCACATGGGGGAAAAGGAAGAAAAGGTAAAGAGAAGAAGTAAAAGAACAATCAGGTCGTCCCCTCTGCCCCCGCCCCGGCCAGCCACATGCTTGCTGGATTGGACCCGGGCCACGGCAGTGAAACCTCCAAATCCTAACAACTAGACCGCCAGGGAACTCCCCAATTCAGAGTTTATCTAATGTCCATATAGAATTTTAATTTTTGCTTTGATTTTCCCGTCTTAGTATGTCATCTATTTTGCAGTGAAATGGCCAATGGGAAATGGACATAAGTTGAAATTTGCTTTTCAAAGCCAGTGACTTCCTCGTCAGCCAGCACTCAGACAACTGGAATCTTGCAGCAGCCAGTGTTGCAGTGAGCTGGGGGTTTAAGGAGAGACAGTCACTGTTTCTATATCTGTAGGTCAACAGCCTATATCCACAGATCAATGTCCAGAGTCTGACGTCCAACTAAAGTTTTAAGGGTGAAAGTGTTTGAAGCTGTTATAGCTGGAAATACGGAGTGCGTAAGACACTCACATATCTATTAGGTGGGTGAGAGGTGGATGGAAGGGGAAGAGAGATAAGAATTAGTGAAATAAGAAGGTTAATCAGGAGCCCTGCTTAACCCATTAATTTACTGAGACTTAATTTACTTAGACTTAATCAATAACTTCTCAGCCTTCCTAGTTTTTTTCACTGTGATTTCATTGCATGGAAATTGTAGTACTAATTTAAGACAAAAGAGATATCAACTCAGCATAGACATATATTCATACAGAATAAATTTAAATTTACTGTGGTGTTTTTGCTTAAGGAACCAGAGGTACCCTCTTGTTCTCTCTCTCTCTCTATGTATATATATCTCACTATAAAAATATGCCAGAGATATATAATCCTTTCTCCCTATATACACACATGGATGCATATATAGTCAAATACCCATCTGCAGTTATAGTGAAAATAAGATGCAGTTTTCATTTCTTTGCAGATCGTATGCTTCCAGTTGCAATAACACTGTAAATTTGGCTGTTACTAAGAAAGAACTAAAACAATGCCTGGGACTGATCAATATTTTAATGTTGTCCAGATACCAAATGTCATCTCCCAATTCAGGCATTTGGCATATGGATCTGACACCCAACTACATCTTTCATTTATTTATTTTTTTCCGGTAAAAATGAGGTTTTTATTCATTCATGCAAAAATCCATTTTTGTTTTCCTTCCCTCCCTCCCTCCCTCCCTCCCTCCCTCCCTTCCTCCCTTCCTCCCTCCCTTCCTTCCTTCCTTCCTTCTTGTCTGCTTTTTTCCTTGCTGTGTTCCTACCTTCTTTTATTTTAATGACTACAGGTCCTAGTAATTAACAGTACCAATTCATCGGCAAGGAATTAAATTGCTTTTTTTTTTTTTTTATCATGGTGTCACTTAAAAGAACAACTTTTGCTTACTATTTGTGGGTGAGGGGAACAATACTATCTTTTTAATGAAGGAGAAGTCCATATAATGTACCACCAAACATCAATGCAATAAGGAGTAATATATAACTCCACTTATGTTAGTTGACATTTGGTTTTGCAATATCAACATATTCTTCAAACTGGGATTTCTCTATTGCAGAAAAAAAGACAACAATAAATATGGAGAAGTCTGTTTCATACATTTGTGAAGCATATTATTTTCTTGATTTTCAACTTGTTTTCAGAAATAATTGTTTTAATATCATAATTCATTAGCTAGTATGCAGTGGATATCCACCACGAGGAAAATAGAATAAGACGATGATTACAAAGGTGCAAGGTGGGAATATTTTCTGTGCAGAACGTCAAGCATGTTCTCAAGTAGGAAAACCACTGCAAAGCATCCACGGATGTAGTGAGATGTGGATCACCAACTGGCTGCATCACAAGTCATCAGTGGTTGTTTCTTTTCTTCGTGAAGGAGTCATTGCCTATTTGGATTCTTTAGCCAATCGCAGGAATAGCTGCTTTAGTTCACTGTGTCCGTGGAAATGTCATAGGCAAATGGTTACACATTTACCATCATAAATACTAGGCACGGAGACCCTTCTCACGTCAGAGTAAATGTGGCAAGAAAAAAATCTGACCAGAATTACAGTTGATTCCAACTCCGGCTGACTTGGCCATTTCCCTTCCCACCCCACCATCTCTTCCTCAGCTAAGCGAGAATTCCGTATTTACAATACTGCATGGTTTTTCCCAGTTCTTGAACTTGTCTTTTGGAGGGCTTACCTCCCATGTAAAGTAGTGGTGGTTTGGGTTTACCTTTTTTGGCCACCATTCTCCCCAAACTAAAGCTAAAACATGGGCAGATGGAACCATCCAGTCCCCTTATTCCGGAAAAGAATCTTAATCAGTTGCAAAAACATATTAATAGAAAATGAAACCCCATTGTTAAGGGATGCTATCTGTCATCACTTTGCCCTGTGTCTAGAAATAGTAACTTCTTGTCATCCCAGTAAGAGTGGGTGCAACTTGCATCTTCTGTTGTGTTGTTTTCCTGAAAGAATGGAAATGCCTCTGGCATGAACAGAAGCACAAGGAACACTGAAGAAACAGATAGTGGGATGGTGTTTGCCGGGCAGAGGTAGATGAAGGTCACGACAAACTTTGTTGTGGTCATATACCTTAAAGTCGTTAAGAGGTGGTCAGTGGAAAAAGAGCTCATCTGATACGTTCTTCCCCATGAGTCATCACCCCCCTCCCCCTCCAGTCATTGCTCCCTAACCCTTCTCATCCCACCCCCAACTCCACTGAAATCTGGAATCCCCCACTCATTAGGCTTTACCAAAACTCACTTCTATAAGTCTCGCAAAACTCAATGCAGTTAATAGGCGCCAGAAATAGTACCATTATTTCCATCAATTACAAATGCTGTGCCTGTGTGTGTGCACGTGTGAATGTGTGTTTGCATTTGAATAGAAAACAAATTTCAAAAAAGGAACAAAAACTGGAGAATTTTGCATTTTTGGTGTTTTTTTTTTTTTTTTGTATTTGCGCAGACCATTTTAGGATTTTCAGTCTCAACAAAACACTATTAAAACAAAGAATCTAGTAAAATATTTGTGCATGTACTGCTAAACAATTCTAGCAATTTTACTAAGCAATACCTTTATTATTTTGAATATTCTTAACAGACTGGAACAAAACAGTTTTTTTATTTTTTTATTCAAAACAAAATATGCATAACTGTAACGCGTGTCGCAGAGTTAGGTATGATGCAGAGATTAAAGTTTTGTTTCAACAAAAACAAATGCCTGGGGGAATTTCATAGCTAGAAAGTTAAGAACTAAATTTTGTTCGCTAAGAGGACCTTTTCCATGGTTTTCCTTCATCTGCCAGCTATACAGCAATCATCCCTGAAATGCAGTTCCCGAGTGTAGTTAGAGAATAGTAAAGAATGTGAAGTGGTTCTTTTAAAATTATTTGTTTTGATTGTTTGTTTTAAAAACAGCCCTTATTAACTCTTCCTTCCACTGATTCTACTGTAAACTCATAAAAGCCTTTTTTTTTTTTTTTTTTTTTTTTTTAGAAAGCAAATTCATAGACACTCAGCAGGTAAAATGTTCCCACAAAAAGAAAAAATACAAACAGAGCGATCCGATTTCTCCTCTTGTCTTCAACTATCTAGAGCATGTGAGAGTGGTAACGTTTCTGTACTTGAATGAAAATGGCTAACCTAGTGTTTGAAAAGTTCTTTTTGATAATGCAGAATTGCATACACTTTATACCTGGAGTAATTAAAAACTGTATGTGGGAGAAATACTGGGGTGAAATGGTCTAGATTCTGTATGCTGCAGGTGTCTGAGCACGTCTGCTAGCCCTCCACAATGGTAAAGGAGGAAAAAGAAGTCCAGATTTGGGTCCTCAGAATCCTGTTCCTGTAACAATGGCCAAAAGGTGCTCGTGTAGTCCTGCAACAGAACTGAAATCCCAGCGAAAGCCCAGCCACCTGCGGCTTCAGGGCAGGACTCCCTACCTCCTCACACCCCCATTCTGGGTGGCTGCTTCCAGCCACCCGACCAGTGAGGAAGGCCTGGGCCCTTGGAAGGGGGAGCTGGACCAACTGAGTTCACGGTAGTTTTCTTTGCTTTTGTTTTATTTTCAACGTAAAGATGTGCTAACTGTCTGACCCCACCTGTTATGGAGAGCACTTGTTTGTTCAGCTAGAAAGGGCCCCCCTGGTTCTGCTCCGTTGCAGGTTTGTGCAGCAGCGGCTCAGGGGCCCAGCGGAGCGTGCACTGCGCCCACTCACGGCAGCTGCGACAAGGACAGAAGCAAGCGGATGTCATCTGCTGTGGGCGGGGAAGGCCCGGGGCGGGCAGGCCGGGAGGGGTGTGGGTTCCAGAGGCAGGAGGGAGAGTCAGGGAGTTTTTTTATTTTTATTTTTTTGTTGTTTTCTTTTTTTTGTCTTTTTTATTTTTTTATGATTTTTTTTGTGTGTGTGTTGTTGTTTGCTATACCGCGAGGTCATAGCCGTCATTCCGCTAATAGAAACTGACAGGACATGAGACAGAACTATCTGAGGAGCACACACAATGACTAGAAATATATATAGAGAGAGCGACAGTGAAAAGACTTAGTTTACCTCTGAGAAACCATCCCCCCAAATAAATCCTGTATTAACAAGTGCAAAAACAAAACAAACAGATAAACCCAAATCAAAAGGAAAGCAAAGAAAACCTCCAAACATTAAAACACAGTGTATAAAATGGTGTGAGAAACTGAAGTCACTTTCCAGCCTTTTAGTCCATAAAAAGCTGTGTGTGTGTGTCCTTGTTTGGATTCAGGCCCCTCTTTTCCAGTTTTGCCCTCCAGGCCCTGCACAAAGTGATGCGCGGTCGGAGCACCCAGGCCGTGACGCCGGTGGCCAGGGCGGCAGGCACGCTCCAGGGTCCAGCATCCCTACTCCTTGCTGGCCGAGCGCTCGTCAAGTGCGTGGACGCCCCCGACGCCCAGCGCCGTGGCGTTCTGCGCCGCCGAGGCCGTGAGAACTGTGTGAAGGAGCATCAGCATGAGGACACACAGTCTGAGTCTGCCGGGGCCCAGCCTGGGCGCTGCTGAAGCTGGCAGCGACGTCCTGGGACAGGAGCCGCCTCTGTCCACCGTCCCCTTGGAGGGGGTGTTGGATTTTGCCTCTCTCCTGACGTCACAGCATTCTGGTTCATCATTGGTTAGAAAGGTTTCGTAGAGCCCTGGGGGGTGAAGAAAGGGCAAGGTTAACAGGCGAGAGGAGGATGGGTAGGAAGGCGCTCAGAGCCGACGGCAGCGTGTACTTTAACATCTGATCCACGACATCTTACGGCAATGGAACATTTTGTAAAGGAGAGTCAAGTCCGTACAGTCTGGGTCAATGGTCAACCGTGCTCTCAAGCCAGTACTTTTAGGTTCCTCACTGCTCTTACTGCACTCTTGGTGGTCATCCATGAAAGTTCTGGGTCGTGAGGAATACAGGGTAAAAGGTTTCACTAGGTGAAAACCAGAACCTAAGGTTCTGGATCAACTTGGTGACCAGGAACATTCAACCACCATTTTCTCTTTAACAGGAATGTGATTAATTAGTGCGATGTGTAAAGTGACACCCACTAGTTATGAGTTAGCATATTTTATTTATGAAACCACCAACCAATCATAATACCAGAGCTACAGGAACCATGTTACTAATCACCTCCTCTCAGGAACCTCACCAAGGCTCAGATCTCCCTTTATGGCTGAATGGGCTTAACATCTACACACCCAAACCATGACCATTTCCATTTGTAAATACTTCTCTTATTCTTCCATTTGCTATTCTATTGATGACTGCCTACATTGAAGCCTGTATTGTCTTTTTATTTTTATTTTTTTATTTTTTATTTTTATTTTCTGGACCACTGGGGGAGGAGTCTCTGCCTCATCCTTCTCCCTTTCCCATCCTCCAGCATCACTTTTTAGTGATTGTGGGTCTAGCTCACTCTCTCGCTCTCTCTTATTCTCTCTTCCTTTTTTCCCTTCCCTCACCACAGAATCTCTCCTCTTTCTCCCTTCTCTTTTCCCTTCTTCCTCTAAAAACACACATTGTTCTTATTTTTAAATTGATAAGTGGAGACTTTCGAAGTGATGAAAAAGAATAAAACAACTGGCTATCTAAACCTTCCAATCTCGTTTCTTGCTAGATTATAAAATTTTTACGTGGTCGCTTAAGCCATTTTGTATCCTTTTTTTTTTAACTTGACTGAAACATTTTTTCATGAGATTTAGCATGAAGTTTCTACACAAATTTTATTCTGTTACTCTCAAGCTTGAAAAGCTTAAAAATGACGATAGAGTAGTTGTTAGGATTAAATACGATGTCGTATGTAAAGTACTTGGCTCAGTGCCTGGCGCAGAGAAGTAACTTGAAAAATTTGACTACTGTGAATTATAATCACTATTAATAGCGCCTCATTGGCTCGACCTTACTCATGAAATCTAGTCTCCTTTCCTCTCTCTCCAGACTCACTGCTCAGTGCTCCAGACATCCTCAACTCTTGGTTGATCTCAGAACACGTGACACTTCCACCCACATATGGACCACAGCTCAAGCTTTCTTTCTGGAATTTTCTCCATCAATTCATAGAACTAACTCTCATTTCTCCTTCAGGCTCAGCTCACATAGAATTCCCTTTGTGAAGCCTGTATTCATAGTCCTGGGCTCCTAGTGCATTTTGTGTAACTCTTCAATAGAGCAATTATTATTTTTTCTTTTAATCACAATTGCTCATTTTCATGTCAATTTCCTTACTTATGTGTCACCATAAGAGCAAGAACTATATAGTATCAGCCTCGTGTTCCCAATATGTTGCAGAATGCCTGAATAAAATAGGTACTTAACGAGATTTGTTACATGAATAAGCTCAATATATATTTATTCAATAAAGAGACTATTAAATAATATACACTCTGCAATCTTCAGTTTCTTTAAAAAAATGACCAAGGTATCCTTATAATGATGCTTACAATATTCATTTCTTCTTAGGCATTCAAAGGTAAACTTCACCTTCGCCTAGGTAGAATATGGAAAAAAAACTGAATTAATGAGGTCTGCAGCTCCGACATTTTTATTTTATGTATTTTATTCTTTTTTCAAATAAGATACCTCACGGGTAGACTAATCATTTATTGAAGTATACGTCTTCCAAAATTATATTCTACAAAGAAGAGAGTTTATAGTTAAGATTATAACAATAGAAATCTAAAGGTCATTTAGGTCAACATTTTAGAATGGTAACAGTCGGAATATCTTTAACAATGTCGTCCAGATAAGAAGCTCTTCCGAAGTTGCTCAGAAGCCAGGCGACTGATTTAGACCTAAAGTCATCTCAGAAAAAATAAGGCAATTTGTCAGGTCAATCAATGTACTCTTCTTTTGGAGTAAAAACAATAATACTCTTTCTTTTTACATTGTCCATCTTTTTAGTAAGAATCTTTATTCAGAGTTACACATGCATATTAGTAATCAAATCATTCTACAAGATATTTTATAAGAAAAAATGCCTCCACCTCCTCCATCCCAAATTCTTCCTTCTCAGAGGCAAATACTGCACTTTTTAATTTGTTTCTGTATTGGCTCCATTTCTGGAAATGACCTGTTTTATACTTTTTGTGATTTTTCATTTTTTATCACTATCACTAGTAGATTCCTCCCCGCCCCCAAGCCCGCCCCAGGACCTGTGAGGATAAAACATTCATTCTGCACCTTCTCCAGCCCATAGGTGACCCCCTTCCTCTATGGTAGTAAGTTTAATACTCGGTGTTCCTTTATTGGAATGCTGTAAAAACAATTCTCAACTCAGACGTGCAGTAAACTTTCATTTTCCATTCTGATTCCACTTTGTTTCTCCTAGAACTAATACTTACTAATTCTTAGAGTTTTCTACATAGTTACTAATTCAGCACCCAATACTTTGCCAGCTCTTTCCTATCAGTTGTGTTTTCCTGAAGAACTATCTCCTGTAGTCTTTTACCATCTGGACTGGTGGCTTTTATGCCTAATGCATAGATTCCAGCCTGAAAACTCCAATGAACCTTCCTCTTAGGGACGCTGGCTGCCTCTTTCCCGTGGATTTCCTATCTCCTGTTCCTTACACCTCTTTACTCATTTTGGTGGACTGGGTATCTAGTATTTTCATAAGGACAAACTCTTGGGAGTAAATTTCTGAGAAGCTGTATGCCTAAAAATGTTTACCTCACGTTTAATTGATTGTTTGCCTGAGGATGGAATTCTGGCTTAGAAATTCTTATCCTTCACCTTTATTTGAGCGATACTCCCATATTTAGTTGTTGAACCTCTGGGACCTGTCCTTTAATATTCTTATCATCTTCCTTGTTCATCACTTCATCCCTGGCTCTGCTTTCTGGAGGATTTGGTGAGCTTTACCATGAAATAATTTTACTGAGTTTTTCTTTTTTTAAAAAAATCACATTTTAATTTCCAAGAGCTCTTTTATATACTCTGAATTTCTTTTTTGAAGTGACTGTTCTCATTTCACAGTTGCAATATATTCTTTTATCACTCTGAGATTTTTACAGCACTTTTATTTGTCGTGTTTTATTTCCTCCCTGTGTGCATTCTGTTTTCTCCAGATCGCTTTTTTCTCCTTTGTTTGTCTCTTACTTTTTACGTGGGAAGCCCTCCTCACGTCTGTCACCCGGTCCGACAACTTTCTCCAACCATCTCCAAAAAACAGTTCCCCTCCCACAAAGAAATATGCCAGCACTTTTCTCTGGAGAGGGAGGCATGGGTTATGGAGATCTGACTGCCTCATATACAGACTTCCACCTGCTCTCCCTTATGTCGTCACCTCCTCCAAAGCATTTCATGCTGTCAATTCCTGTGTCTGGAGGGAGTCTTGGATGGAGATCTGGTTGACTCTTTGCTTCTTCTCTGCTGCTTTAGCATTCACTTTTCTAGGTGTCAGCAAATCCTTTCACGTGCACCGATTTTCTTTCTAGTTTCTAAGAGGGTTTGGTTGTTGTCTCCTTATCCATTCTTCTGTCCTTTTGGATTTATGCCTAATAACGATTTCTCTTCTCTTGGGGCTGCCTAGGAAACTTTACTGCACTTTTCCCTACATCGGTCTGCTTTGTCCTGATCTCTGACTCACTCCTCCAGCCAGGAATGCTGCCTGTGGCTGGATTCTGCCTCAGTGTCTCCCCAGAAACTGAAGACACAGGGCATCTGCAAAGGGCCAAGCCAGCCTCGGATTTTTTTTCCCTCTGCTGAATCCTTGTTCCCTAACTCCCTCACGGGTACAGTTCTGAGTTCTCTCTAGTAAACCGTCTGGATACAGATGCTTCCTAGGAGAGCCTACCTATAGCAGCCAACACTTCCTCATCCTTCAAAGAAACTGTAAGGACATATTACCAAATGAAAAAAGTTCTCAGACAATCTCATTGCACAAATATATAAGAGATTTGGGATTAGGAAAGGAAAAGAGTAATTTTTTCAGTTAATGAAATGTTGTTCTACGGTTTGCTACAAAATGTTCTATCTGCAATCTCTAATGAATCATTACCTATTTGACATTGAAATAATAGTAGTAGCAATTATTCTATCTTATAGTACCAACCTCATTATTTCTGATATTAAATAATACACATAAACTGTCTAGAACAGTGCCTGGCAGGTAGTAAAATGTCACGTAATATTAATTATTCCTCTTAGAAGTTGGGATAAATAGTACAGTCAGAATTTATTATTAGGAAGGGCTTTAAGGAACATCTAATTCAAATTCTTTTTCTGTTTTCAATTCGTCTAAGCCACTCACAGAAAAGCCTTATTTTTTACAGCTCAAAACAATTATTCTAGTATAGTCAGTATAAATAACATCTAAGTACAGGAAAGACATTCTAAGGAAATCCTTAAAATAAACACATTATTTAAATATAACCCTTCGTTATCTCAGTAATTTACATTTTGCCATCTTTAAATCCAGGAATATGAGGCTAATTTTTCAAATATTTGAACTAGTAATATGCTTTATAATATCTTTCCAAATGCAAAAGTTTAGAAAACAGTAAAGTAAAAAGAAGGGGGAAAATTACCCCAAACCTGATTTCATTAGGATGAAAAAAGAAACAAGAAGAAACTGTTGGAATTTGTTTCCTCAACTTTTTATTAACACGGACACACATATACAGTCAGACCTCATTTTACTGCACTTCACTTTATTGA